CTGAATTCTATGTGCAGCAACTTTATAGGAATGGATTAGGGTGCAAACCTCAAGGAGAAAGCCACCTCCTTCTCATCTAATGAAGACAGTCACCTCCCTCCCAGCTACATCCTGGGTCCACTCTGGACAGCCAGTCATCTAGGTAGGTGCTCAGACAGTGGTCATTATTGTGGCGTGAGCCTCAACAGGAAGAGCTTCTCCCATCGACCCTGTTGCACGTACTTAGAGAATGCCACACAGACAGTAAAGTGTGGTGTGGCCGGGCTCCCTTTGGCTGTAAGAAATTCTCTGCCACTTTAGCTAGGGTCCAGGACAGCTTTCCTTTCCACACCTCAAACTGGAGGACAGTGAGTGTTCAGTTACTATTCCTGGTTAAACCAGGAGGTGACAGGAGGTTCTTTGCCTCCATATTTCTGAACAGGGACTGGGACAACTCCCCCACTAGGATTATGGACAGGCTCAGAGGACACAATGCCATGCCTAGGGTCAGGGATGATCTAGTTAGGGAACTCTTGGAGGGTCTGGACGTGTATAAATCACCAGGTCTGGATGCTTTTCATCCGAGGGTACTGAGGGAATTGGCGGAGGTCATAGCAGGGCCCCTGGCACAGCTGTATGAGTGCTTGTGGTGCTCTGGCCAGGTCCCAGGGGACTGGAAAAGGGCCAGTGTGGTCCCCATTTACAAGAAGGGGAGAAGGGAGGACCTAGGTAACTATAGGCCAGTTAGTCTCACCTCGGTCCTTGGGAAGACCTTTGAGAAAATTATCAAGGAGCACATCTGCATAGGCCCAGCAGGGGAGGTAATGCTCAGGGGCAACCAACATGGGTTCATTGCGGGCAGATCCTGCCTGCCTAACCTCGTTTCCTTTTACAACCAGGTATGAAGTCCTTGGATGAGGGCATTGAGGTGGATGTTGTCTACCTGGACTTCAAGAAGGCCTTTGACACTCTCATAAAATAACTCATTCTCATAAAATAACTAGGCGACTGCAGCATTGATGCCTACACAGACAGATGGGTGACAAATTTGCTCGATGGTCACACCCAGAGAGTGGTGGTGGATGGGTCATTTTCAACCTGGAGGGACGTGGGCAGTGGAGTCCCCAGGGCTTGGTCCTTGGGCCTGTGCTATTCAACATCTTTATCAGCGACTTGGAGGTGGGCATGGAAAGCACGCTGTCCAAATTCACTGATGACACAAAGATGTGAGGTGAGGTGGGCACGCTGGAGCGGAGGGACAGAATCCAGCTAGATCTAGACAGGTTACAGAGGTGGGTGGGTGAGAATAGAATGGAATCGGTGCAGACAAGTGCAAGGTGCTGCATCTAGACAGAAGGAACTGGAATAGGCCGGGGAACACCCTTCTCAACAACACAGTGGCTGAAAGGGATCTTGGAGTCATTGTTGACTCCAGGATGGACATGAGCTGCCAATGTGAGGAAGCGGTCAGTAAGGCTAACTGC